CCTTCAAGACCCGTTCTTCCTTCAGGTGTCAGCACTAGATATCCCCCTCCCCTCACGGCTGCCTGTGCCTCCTCAACACCTAGCCCGTGTTTCTGTCACAACACTGACTGCTCTCTGTTGGATTTAATGTTCTCCTTGTCTGTGCCACTCCCTGTGAACTCCTCGAGGGCGAGGACTGTGTTCTGTGTGTTCCACAGCTCTGTAACTCCGGTACAAGCATGGTGCGTAACCAGTGTTCCAAAAATACTCCCTCATTAAATCAATGGAAACAAGGTTCTCATGTTGACAGGTCTGCAGTACTGTTTACAGAGTGTTGTAGGAAAAGGATGGATTAAATCAATGTTAGTGGACTGACCTGGGAATCTAAGTTCCAGTTACAACATGTTTCTAGGTGAAAGCATTCTGGGATGCTCATGCTTATTTTCAGCTGCAAAATGTTAGTTCTCCAAAATTCTGAAGGATCCATTGCACTCTCCTCAGATTGGCATAATTCCTCTTGGGTTCAGTGGAGAACCATATGCCCATGGGAGAGAATCTGGCTGCCTTTGAATAGAAGATGTTGGAGCAACACTAATAAATTTCAGAGTGAATGCAATTTGCATATGCAATAACCTATTCCCGTAATTGAGGATTTTCTGAGTGACTGAGAGGCTCCAAAGGTAGAATACATCCTCAGTCATTTCCACACAGTATTGAGTTGTTGCCAAGCTCTGACCCTTTAAATGTCTCAAACAACACCCATAGATTTTGGGAAGAAAACCTATTCAATTTACTAGTATCATTTCACAACGTTTATAGGTCATGATTCTCTAATGTAGGGGGGATATTGAGAATGTGTAGTTGACACATTTTTCTCATGAAGAACACCCTTATTTTTCTTTCCCCTTAAGCATGAATTTTTCAGTAATGATGTAGTACTGGTGGGTTCAATTTAATCAAAGTTTTCCAGGAGCTTTCTTGCTAAAGAGTGAATCACCAGGTTTTCTGGTATATTATAGGAGAAACATCTGTGCATTTTCAAGCTTGTGGTATGCAATGAAACATGCTGTAAGTCAATCAAGTGAGTTTTATTTATTTTTTAGTGTCAGGGTCTTGCTCTGTTTCCTAGGCTGGAGTGCAGTGGTATGATCATGGATGGCTCACTGCAGCCTCAGATTACTGGGTTCGAGCTATCCTTCTGCATCAGGCTTCCAAATTCCTAAGACTATAGGTACATGCCACCACACCTGTTAATTAAATTGATTCTTAATTTTTAATATTTTTATTTTTTTTTGTAGAGATAGTGATATTGCTATGTTGCCCAGGCTGGTCTTAAACTCCTGGCCGCAAGCACTCCTTTTGCCTTGGCCCCTACAAGTGTTGAGATTTTAGATGTGCGCCACTACACCTGGCCAGTGAATGGTTTTCTTTACCAGTCCTTTGCAGTCTCTCTTCAACATTTAGTATCAGCCTCATTTTTTTTTTTTTTTTTGCTTTTGCACGTTGAACTTTAATGACACAGGTATTTGACATGTCTCTTGAAATGTAATATGTAGTGACTGCAGCAAAATTATTACATAGAAGGGGTATAGGGTAGGTGATCTGGTTGGAATAAAGGACTAGACCTTTACTTTTAAGTTTCATTTGTATAGTGAGCCTACTGTTTGTACATAGAAGGTGTGTTTCTCCCTCATGGTGACTCTAGTCTTCTAGTATCCTAGGTCAAGATCCTTGGGATTATCCTTGACTCATATTTTTCTCACTCTGTGTCTAATCCTTCAGCTATTTTGTGGGGCCCACCTTCAAATATATCCGTAATCACATCTCTTCTCACTTTCATAGCTAGCACCTTGTTCTAAGCTGCCATCATCTCTTGCTGAGATTGTTGCAATCACTTCCTTCCTAACTAATCTCCCTATGTACATCCTCCCTCATATTTACACAGCCATTTTATCTGTGTTCAAGACCCATACATACAGTCAGTCTCCAACTTGTCTTTTGAGTTTCATCTCTTGTTCTCATAATTGTTGGAGAACAATTTTTCGTGGACATTTTAAATGGGATTATGTTCTTGGTTTGGCTCTCAACTTTAACATTATTGGTGTATAGAAATGCTACTGATTTTTTTACATTAATTTTTTTTCACGAAGTTTTACTTAAGTAATTTATCATGCCTGGGAGCCTTTTGGTTGAGTCTTTAAGGTTTTCTAGAAATAGAATCATATTGTCAGTGAAGATAGATAGTTTGACTTCTTTTCATTTATCAGATCTAGGAGCCTTTTGGTGGAGTCTTTAAAGCTTTCTAGATATAGAGTGATACTGTCAGGGAAGAGAGATAATTTGACTTATTTTCCTATTTGGATGCCTTTTTTTTCTTTCTCTGGACTGACTTCTCTGTCTAGGACTTCTAGTACTATGTTGAATAGGAGTGGTGAGAGTGTGCATCCTTGTTTTGTTCTAATTCTTAAGGAGAACGTTTCCAGCTTCTGCCTGTTCAGTATGATGTTGGCTGTGGGTTTGTCATAGATGGCTCTTATTGTTTTGAAGTATGTTCCTTTGATACCAATTGTTGAGGATTTTTATCATGAAGCGATATTGAATTTTATCAAAAGCTTTTTCTGCATCCATTGAGGTGTTCATGTGGTTTTTGTTTTTAATTATGTTTTGTGGTGAATCTCATTTATTGATATGTGTATGGTGAACTAACTTATACAACCCCAGGACAAAAGCCTACTTCATCATGGTGAAGTAACTTTTTGATGTGCTGCTGGGTCCAGTTTGCTGATATTTGGTTGAGGACTTTTGTGTCTATGTTCATCAAGGATATTAGCCTATATTTTTCTGTTTTTATTGTGTCTTTGCAGATTTGGGTATCAGGATGATGCTGGCTTCATAGAACAAATTGAGGAGGAGTCTCTCCTCCTCTATATTTTGGAATAGTTTTAGTCGGATTGGTACCAACTGCTCTTGGTATGTCTGGTAGAATTTGCCTGTGAATTCATCTGGCCCAGGGCTTTGTTTGGTTGGCAGACTTTTTTTTTTATTATTACTGTTTAAATTTTGGAACTTGTAATTTTTACCACTCTCTCTTGATCTCTTTCATAAGCTTGTCTTCCTCTGTCTGTCCCTTAACTGCCACTTGTACACTTTTAGTCCTCTGGAGTTCTTGCCACCTATTTATTTTCTTGAGCGATGTTATCTTCTCTGAGGTTTTAAGTGACCACTTATATGCTCATAAACTCCCAAGTATCTATTCTGAGCCTAGTTCTTTCTCTTGCTATTCAGATGCATAGGTCCCATTATCTGCTGAACATCTCCCTCTAGGTGTCCCAGGCCCACCTCAAACTCAACGTGTTCAAAAGGTCGTCATCTTCTTTATTACGTTGGGTTTCTGTTCATGTTCTCTATCACAGGGGATGGCACCATCTAGATACTTTAGTTATAAGTTACCCTTGACTTCTCTCTCTCCTTTGCTCTCCACAGCCAACTAATCGTCAAGTTCTGCTGGCTATACCTTTCAAATAGTTCTGAGTTTTGTCTCTCCCTCTTTTTACTTATTACTTATAATGGGTTGGGTGATAGTTCTTAAAAGATAAGTCCACACCAAATCCCTGGAACTTGTGCTCCTTATATGGAACAAGGGTCTTTACAGATGCTATTGTTAAGGATCTTGAGATGAGATTATACTGGATTTTCTGTGTAGACCCTAAATCCAATGACAAGAGAAAGGCAGAGGGAGAACTGTGGCACAGAGAAGAGGGGAAGATACAGACACATGGAGGAGAAAGCAATGTGGAGGTGCAGACAGAGGCAGTGATTGCAGTGATGTGGGCACAAACTAAGGAAACCGAAGAATGATGACAGCTTCCAGAAGGCAAAAGAGGCAAGGAAAGATTCTCCTGTATGGGCTTCAGAGTGAGTGCCCTGCCAACAGCTTGATTTTCATTTCTAGTTTCTAGAAATGTGAGATCGTGAGAGAGTATATGTTCCTTGCTTTGAGCCATGTAGTTTGTGGTAATTTGTTATGGCAGCCACAGGAATTGAATGCACTCCCTTTGCCAGTTCAGAAACTTGTCATCCTTGTCTTGGATTAGTGAGAGAGCTGCCCAGTGGTTTCTCTGTCTCCAGTCTTAGCCCTTTTATGTTACATGTTCTATTCTGCACCCAGAGTAGTTATAGTCAAAACTCAATTTGGCCCTGTCCCTTCCATGTTTAAATCTGTCTAATTCCCTCCACCTATCATATATTCTCTCTTCTCCTGTAGCTTCAGTGCTTGTTTAGCCGGGAAGCCTTGGCCCGCCTTGCCCCCCTCCCTTTTTTTGGTCACTCCATTGGTCCTGCAAATCCTCAAACATGGATCAATCCCACCGTATACTTTCTCTACTTCTACCTTTAGGCTATTGGGAAAACTGATATAATTGTGTGGATTTTTTCCCTCCATACATTCGTAGTCCCCAGTCTCAGGCAAGTCTTCAAAATGGTCCAAAAATCTGGCCAGCTGCCTCTCCTAATTGTCCCCAGTGACTCTTCCAAACCTTTATCATTGGCCTCTAAGCTCTTCCACTTTGTTTTGTGCTGCTCCCATCCTTGTCCTTAATGGGAGAAACTTCAAGGTTCTCAGGGATAAAATTCCTCAGATTCCCATCCCCATCCCCACCAAGTTTCATAGCTTTACCTCAGCTGTCTTCCAGTTTCTGAGAAAGACACATCCCCTTCATTCCTTCTGTATTGTTGACTTTTTCTGTCCATGTTCTTGAAGACTCAGTTTATTATTTCCTCTTCTATTATATTTTTAGCTCTTTCTATGGGATCCATTCCCAGTGCTGATAAACATGCTGACATCTTTTTTGTTTTGAACAATACCAAGTGATCAACACTTTTATAATTATGTGACCTGACCTGTTAAAATGAGAACAATTTTGTAGAGATAAACCAAGCTGTCTTAAAAAGTGATACACCGTCAATTGTCTTTGAAAAGAGTTCTGAACTTTTCTTTTTCTTTCTCTTCCATTTTGATCAAGGAGGAAAACGGACACATTAGAAGACCATGTTGAAAGTCTGCCAATGTTACCGTCTGCTTGCTGATAATGATTTTTCTTCTTCCCTGCCTGGAGGGAAGGGTAAATATCTCTTAATGACAATCCCCCATCCCTGCCAGACTGATATACTCAACATTGGCCCCTCCTGGCCACATCTGCTGCTATATAAAACATGAGTTTGTAACTTGTCTTTGTCCAGCCTGGTCAGAAAATGTGGACTCTCATCATGGTCATACATGGCATTTAAAATATTTTTCATTTTTATCTTCAATAATTTATAGATGGAAAATCCTAGGGTATTCATACTTTCAATTAAATGTAGAGCTTCCTCTTTATGCATTTGCTATTTTTTTTTCTTTGAAGAAAATGGACTATTCTCCTTTTCATGTCTTGGATTGAATTCTTTTCTACCCTTTTCCTTTTCATGCTTCTCAGTTGAATTCCTGCGCAACATGAATTGCTGGCAGTGATGCATTCCGGAGGGTACCACCTATAGTTTTGAGGCATGTAGCCTTGCCCACAAAGACAGGGACTTGGAGAGGAAAGATGCATAACCAGTGAAAACAAAGGTAGTAGTGCTCAGCTGTAATCTTTTAGAAGTGACAGTATTATATTTATATTAGAATTTTAATTGAAGAAAACCAATGGAAACTATAAATTATAATACAATTCTAATTTTCCTTTCCTCATTTGTTGTTTTTCAGATTCTTGTGTCATGTTATTTCCTGTCACAGATAGAAAGTTTAGAGTTATATACATATTGTTTCTATCAAAATTTGATTCAATTTTTAAAAATATTTTTTTCTATGACTGAGTGTGATAGATAGAATAATGGTCTGCAAAAGAAGTTTATGTCCTAATCCTCGAGCCTGTGAATCTGTTCGTTACCTTATGTGGCAAAGGTACTTTGCAAATGTGATTAAGTTAAGATCTTGATGGGAGATTATCTTGGATTACCTGGGTGGGACCAATGTAATCACAAGGGTTTTTATGAAAGGAATCAGGTAGTTCAGAGTGAGAGCGAGTCAGAGAAGGAGATGTGATGTTGGAAGCAGAGGTCAGAATGATGCCAATGCTAGAAGGAGCCATGAACCAAAGCACCCAAGCACGCTCTAGAAGCTGGAGAAGCAAGGAACAGATTCTCCCTGAAATCCTCCAGGAGGAGCACAGCCCTGCTGATACCTTGACTTTAGCCCTGTAAGACCCATTTTTGGACTTCTCTAGAATTACGAAATAATACATTTGTGATGTTTTAAGCCACTACGTTTGTGATAATTTGTTAAAACAGCAATAGAAAACTAAAATACTGGAAGTTTTAGTAAAAAACACAACATGATTTTCATTCTTTTAACCTAAAACTTAGTGACAGGTCCTGTCCAGGGAGCATTGTCACTTTAAGAAGCTGTGATAGTCTCATGAAAGCAGCTGCAGTTTTGCTAACCCAAAAGCCTCAAGGACTGACTCATTGTCTTATGGGTTTGACCTTGGGTCCCTCTCTCCCTGCCTTCTTTACTTCCCTCCATGTTCTCTGGCCACCATGCCTGGTCACTGACCTGTACCCAGGCTTATGATCTAGTTTCTCACTATGATTTAGTTAATGAGCCTTAGAATCCTCAGCTTCTCTTCTATCTGGTTTGAAGTGATGCACATGTCAGTCCTTTTTGGCTTATCCTTTCTGGCCAATGTGATAAGATGCCTGACTTATACATACAGGCCCTCAACTCTTGTTTCGGCAGTGTTCAGATGCATTTGTTCCTGCTTTGGTTTACAGATGTGCCTGAATGTTTGGCTTTGTTTGCCTGTCTATTCATCCATTCTTTAATAGTAACTTTCTGAACAGCTACTCTATGTAAGAACTGGAGTAGAAACTAGGGATGAATAGATGAATAAGATATGGTCTGCATCTTCAATGAGTTCATAGTTCATAGGAGACCAACATAGAGAGGTGATTAGTAAAAGAAAACATAAAAATATGTATAGTCTGCTACTGACCCTAGGGGAGAGAAGATATGCTGGGGTAGTGTGAGCTGGGGGAACTTCCTGAAAGGTGTAGATGGCTGAGTGGGAAGTTAGAAAGAATGAGTAGGAATTATCCAGTGGCAGGGAGGTGTGCATGAGGGATGGTGTGAATGGAGGAGATGGCACAAAGTGATAGGAGTTCAGAAGAGGGAACAAATCAAACAAAAACACAGGAAGTAGGGGAGTGTGAAAAAGAGAGTTGCAGGGAGAAGATGGAGAGGTAGACAGGGGCCAGACCTCAGAGTATGTTGCGTGCCCTGGAAGGGTGCTTCAACCCTAGCATTCTGGCTGTTCATCTTGTAGTGCATAAGATTCGTTCATTAAACTCATCAGCCCTGTTCAAAACCTTGGGGATCAGATGTAAACAAGACAAAGCTGCTGACCTCTTGGAACCCAGTGTATCACAGGAGACAGATAACATGAGTAATCACAATGATCACAATGGTAATCACATGGTAATCACAATGAGAGGAGACATTAGGGGTAGCTCACAATCCAGGCTGAAGGTCCAAAAATATTTCCTTGAAGAAGATACAATATCTGCTCGGGAGGCTGAGGCACCCCCCCCCCCAAAAAAAAAAAAAAAAAAAAAAAAAAAAAAAAGGCAACAAAGGCGAAACTCCATCTCAAAAAAAAAAAAAAAAAGGAAAGGATATAATCTCTGAACTGAGTCTAAATAGATGGATGGGATTACCCAGGATTTTTTTTTTTTTCTTTTTTTGAGATGGAGTCTCCCTCTGTCACCCAGGCTGGAGTGCAGTGCAGTGGTGCAATCTTGGTTCACTGCAACCTCTGCTTCCTGGGTTCAGGTGATTCTCCTGTATCAGCCTCCCCAAGTAGGTGGGATTACAGGTGCATGCCACCACACCCTGCTATTTTTTTTGGTATTTTTAGTAGAGATGAGGTTTCACCATATTGGCCAGGCTGGTCTCCAACTCTTAGCCTCAGGTGATCCAACTGCCCCCACCTCCCAAAGTGCTGGGATTGCAGGCATGAGCCACTATGCCCGGCCAAGGATCTTGTTAAGAAGGGAGATCTATTTAGCTCTCAACCTCAGAGAATCTTATTGCCTAGGTCTCGGGTAGACTTAAAAATCTGCATTTTACATGCCTACCTAGTAGGTAGTTCTCATGCAGTTAGATTCATAGAAGGGTTAAATTTTTTTGCTTCCACAAAATGAGTCTCACATGTTGGACTTCTATGTAACCTGATTCAGGAGGTTCAAACCATGAATAGCTTCACTGAGATGTGGAAATACTCATGATACTTAAGAAAAACAGTATTGCAATAACTTAGTGTTGTTCTACCCACAATTAGATGGCTCTTGAATGATTCAGAGGGAAACTTTGGATGGGATATATTAGAAGCAGTTTGGGAAGTTCCCTTTGAAAGGTTGAATGATATGAGAACATGCTTCCACAGATGAATGAAGAATGGGTGAAACTTTCTTTCTTTAATTTCTCTACCAGCTCCCATCAACTTCCTGCCTCTGACCCCTAATGCTTTCCAAGAAAATGGGCTCAGCTACTTAATCCTTAGGCAGGGTTGAGCTGAGGATACCCACTGTTCCTGTTTAGAATTAGCTTCTCTGAAAAACTTCCCAGATTCTAAATCATTGCCAACGTACTTACATCTTTTTATTCTAAGATGCAGGGTAGTATAAGAGAAATGGCATAAAATTTGAAGTCAGGCTTATCAGTGAGTATTTACCTACTTCATAAATATTTGAAGTATTGAATTTCTAGGTACTCAGCAAACAAACAAATAAACAAACAAACAAAATCCTGGTCCTGCTCCATACAAGTTCACAATCTAGTAAGGGAAACAGGTAATATTTATAACAGTGTAGTAATTGAAATGAGAGAACTGACAAGCTACTGTGCACAAGAGATGAGACATTTGGCTAAGCCTGAAGTGAGAGCTTACAAAGAAATAAGCCCTCATTTAGGAGGCTGGGAAGAAATTAGCTGGGAGAAGAAGGTGAGGTTAAGGCACATTTTATTTCCCTCTCTTGTAGCCTTTCTTACCACAACATCTCATAATGGTCTATACACAGTAGATTTGTGGTTTCAGAGAATCATCATTTACATATCTTCATTAACTTCTTACTTGAGTGGAATGAAAAGATCACATAGTACTGGATTGGATGACCCAAATCAGCAGTTTACTCAAGGTTTCTTAGTGAATAATCTTCAAAGCAAAATACATTTATTTATAAGAGCCTTGTCCTTTGAGGCAATACCCTGTCACTGTCTCAGCTTTGTTTGAAGGCTTATCAGTGCACAGTTGGCTTTGGAATGCAATATGGGCAGGATGCATAACCATAGGTGTGGTGGTCTATTTAGGACCAGTCTGACTGTTAGAGAATGGTAGATGGCCTTGCTCAGTTCCTAGACAATCACAATCTCTTCCCGTCTCCCCCCACCACATTCTTTTTCTTTTGACAGTTATTTAATACCTGTCAAACATATTTACTAAACACTCTGAGAACCTGAAAAAATTCAAGACTCTTTAAGAAGAAAGAATGCATGAACTTGGACAAAAATGATTAATGTGGGAATGTTCAGAGATTTTCCCCACAGCTTCTCTGCCTAATAAATAGAATCCTCAGTTTACGTGAAGCAATTTTTCTCTCTCTCCAAATATTTCTTTTTGCAGAAGAGAAGCAAATTTGATGTACCTGGTAAAGTTCTCAGAGAGAAAAGAAAGGGCTCTTGTTCTGATGGAAGAAGAAGGCAGTGGAGGAGTGATGGATGAGTATTTCTCTTTGAGGGTTTTGAGGAGAGAGATGCTGAAATACCTCTAGGACAAGAGCAAAATGAGCAGGAGAACAAAAGATTTTAGCAAGTGCTTTTATGCGTTTTCTGTTGGAATTCCTTTGAGTAATATGAGTAAAGCATGGGATTTGTTAATGAGTTTTTATTTATTTTGGCTATTGCACGGTGCTTCTTGGATATGATAGGGCTTTTAGACTAATTACACTATGGGTACATATGCATCCTCATGTGATTCTATAAATACAGCATGTCCTAGCCTACCTGTGGGTTCTAGGTTAAGAATGT